AAAAGTTTTTATTTATACTTTTAGATCAACGAATTAACAATAAAAATAAATGATATCAAGGGCAAGTTTGTTAAACCATCATTGAAAAAAGTATCAAAAACTGAACAAAAGTATGTGACGAAAATTTTTATATAAATAATATTATCTGAAAGTTTTGATAAACACATTGTTTCGATTGTAGATTGAATAAAATTAAAAAACCAAAAGAAGAAGAACCGGATTTTGTTTCAATGGCTAATTTGAAAAAGAGTGAGAAAAATAAATTTGCACTTAAAGAAGAAAAAGAAGAAGATAAAGTTAATTTTCGTGATCAAGTGCAATTAAAATCAGCCAAAGAACATAAAGAAGAAGAAGCTTAGTCAAAAATTATTAATCTTATTATTTATTTATTTATTTATTTATCATCGCACATGACCGATAAATCTTTTTTTATTATCGCTTTTAATGATGATTCGTTGTTTTGATTATGTCTGTCTATCTATGGAAAATAACAGTAATCGTGTCGAGTGTCTTCTTCTCTATTATGTTGTTACGATTTTATCTGTTTTATGAAACAAAACAACCAAACATCTCCCCGTTTTTTTCTTTTCAAATATCGTCATAATAACGGAAAACGTCGGAACCCTTTCTTTTTTTCTATTATTGGTAAATGATTTTCTAATTAAAATAAAATACATCTATAATAATAATCACTGTTTGAAATTTTAGTTCATTTCTTCTATATGATATGGAGTCTATGATGTAATCGCGTTACGAAGTTATCAAGATTTGAATTCACTGACTTTCTTTGTATGACTGCGTTTGTGTTTCACTTTCTCTTAGTCTGCTTGAGCAAGTGTCACCCTCTTTTTCCAGAAATGAAGGAGCTAGACAGTTGATTTCTAGTGTTCCTGATCTGATCTGATAGTTTGAACATCTTTTATTGTATATCGTATCGGAGTTATAGAGAGCAGTATGCAAAAGCTGTTCTTGCAGAAGTGCATTCGAGAAAAATTCCGTAGACCCTTTAAAAAATAAAGTTTATCACAGACTTTGTAGATGATCGTTCAAGCTATCAGATGGAAACAATTTTCTCGAAAAGAGCCTGTTATTCCTGAGACTATTCAAAACTTGTCTTCGTTCAGGCGCTACATTTTTTCATGTTAACATTGATATCCTATAATTAACTATATTTATGAGAAATGCCTGTTTTTTCTAAAATGCTGTTAGAGAGAAAATTACATATATTGACTTAATCATGAATGAAGTATATACTGGAGAGTGGTGCAGTGGAAATCTACTGACTGAATTGATCACTTTTGGCAGCTGTCAGTAGAGACAGAGTCTATCGACATCGCAACTTGTGTACAGTACAATTGCTCTCTAGTTAAGTCGGCAGACATTATGTGTTTTTGCTGGAAATTTTGTTTTTATTTTGCAAAATATGCGCCGCTTGATCTAGAGAAGTACGATACGTAGACGTATCGGGAGGATGATCTTCCGACTTTGCAGATTGATCAATGCACATTTTTCTCTCAAGTAACGGTCCAGATTTGGAGCCATAAGCTACACAAGTGGAAGAAAAATGTGTTTTAGACTTAGATAATTATTGTTATTTTTTGTTCGGCGTCATTTAGTCAGAGAAAGAAAAATTATTTTTTCTAATTTGCTCTTTATAACTGGAAACATAAAGACATTTAAGTATTGAGAAGGGAATTTTAAGTTTATAGGAGGGAGAAGAAAGAAAAAAAGACGCTTTGTTATTTTAGAACAGAAGGGATACCGAACAACTAGAAATTCATTGATTATTGAAACAATTTGGAGCATCGGCTTAGAGGAAGTGGTCGGTTTAATCTGGCGCATACTGTTAAATCATACCCTATTATAAAACACGAATTAATAGACTGAGTCCAGGGGAAAAACAATCATTTTCTGAAAACTACTTTTGCTAAAGTAGTTTTGTCAAATTCTTTCTTGTACACACTGGAAGGTAAAACGAATAAAATCAAATCTAATACTTGTCGTGAATATGATAAAAAATAAGCCCCTAATAGAGAATAACGTTTCCGTGATTCATTTAATGCTGTACATGCACATACGTAAAAGCTAAAATAAGTTGGGACAATGCACTGAGGACATTAATAATGGATGTTATGAACAGCTCCTTATTTGCTTTCAGCTGTTTGATCATCAGTTCTCTCTCCGATTGGTTTTTCACTGTTTTTGCTCGTTGATCAGTGCCCTAGTGAATGCACTGGAGATCAAGTACTTAGCTACTTGTAAATTTTCTAAAGTACTTGGTTAAGCCCTTGTCAAGCCTTTTTAGATTTAATATGTGCCAAGTACTTGGAAGAACTTTGGATACTTGCATATATTTCTCAAGTATTTACCAAGTTACCTGCCAAATACTTGATGAAGTACTTATCTAATACTTACATTTGTTAAACTACTTGATAAGTACCTTTTTTCCTTGCAAAAAACTCCAGAAACTCCGGACATTACTTAGCCAAGTACTTTCCTAAGTACTAGGTTTCGATTACATGAAAATTGACATTTTTTAGGTTTCGAAAAAAATGATGAATTTTGATTGAACTTTGGGACTTTTATCTATAATCTAGGTGAACTTGTTGTATGATATCGTGAATGTCGGCATTTCACATACAATGAACAGAAAATTTCGCGAGACATGTGAATATTGGACACCCATCATTCACATGTTCTGGAGAATTTGACCGAAATTCACATGAAGCTCACAAAAATTCTCAAAGAGTTTGAAGTCAGTTCACCACATTCGCTCCAGATTCACGAAAAGAAGATAAAAATCACCGACTCTGGAAACAAAATTCACTAAAACTTCACCAAAATCGCGAAGAACTCAAAAAACATCGGCTCCTCTGTGTCTGCCACCTCTTACCGTTATTCGTAAATCGAGCTCCTGTCTTTCGTGCTCGACTGGTCAGCATAACTGCAACTATAATCGTGATGGCCAAAAGCAGGCAAAAGCATAGAAGCAATGCTCTATCAAAAAGAAAAGTCGGTGTCAGTACAAAAAAGAACTTTTCCCCCTACGCAATGATGTAGATCTTTCTGTTATTTGTCTTCCTCTTCTTCGTCGAAGTCGAAGGTGACGGAGAAGTTTCCTTCATCCGTCGCCGACGTGCTAGTCGTCTCTGCTACACTAACACTACTTGAAGTAATACTTTTCTTATGCCAATCTGCTTCTTCTTGTTTTTGTACGGCTGCCGGCGTCACCTTTTGTGGAGGTGGAAGAAAATCATGGGACGACGGCTGATCTGTCTTGGTGGCTGAAGAAGAAGCAACAGAAGGAAGGGAAGATAGTTCTTTGATGGACACCATTATACTCTTTTTTCTCTGATTTCGTATATACAACCTTGGAATATCCTCATCGTTCATGTCTGCTGCGACGATATTTTCTCCCACTCGCTCAGCCATGAAAGCAGAAGAGAAGTTCAACAAAATGAAGGAAAGGAAAGGTAAACTATAGGTGCGCGCTTTATCCACGAATATGGACGTTGAACATTCTGTAAAGTAAGGCAAATGACTGAACATGATCGGTCCACCACCACAAGTGCTAGTTAGAATCACATGGCCTCTTATAATTATATTTATTCAACTTTAAACAACTTCAAAAAGATTGAGATTTATTGTGTCCTAGCAAAGAAATTAAGAAGTGACAAATATGAAAAAATGGAAAACAGTTCTGTCTCGTTTCTGATCTCACGACTTGATGAACTTAAGGAGATCTGCACTGAGTTTGTTCTTCTCCGTGGAGGGCAGTCCATGTGGTGCACCTGGGTAGATGATCAGACGGGCATCACGCAGAATTTTCACCGATTCCGCACTACTAATTTCCAATGGGACAATCTGATCGGCATCACCATGGATGAGCAACGTTGGAATGGTCACCGCCTTCAGATCACTGTTGAAATCCGTTTCGGAGAATGCTTTGACACACTCGTATTCGTTCTGAAGCCCACCCATCATCCCTTGAAACCAGAATTGATCGCGAAGGCCTTTACTGACCTTGTTTCCCCCCGGCTTGTTCACTCCGTAGAAGGGAATGGTCAGGTTTTGGAAGTACTGTGAGCGGTCGCGTAGAAGAGCTGAGCGAATGTCGTCGAAAGTGGAGATGGGCAGCCCATTCTTATTCGTCGATGTTTTGACCATTTGTGGTGGAACGGCGCTGACCATCACCAGTTTACGAGCGCGCCCTTTGGCATAGCGGGCGACGTAGCGAAGAGCTTCGCCTGAAATGGAGGGAAAGAGAGAGAGATTGTTTCTTAATTTCAGAGACCTGTCTGATTTGTGAGTGAAAACAAGACAAAAAAACTTGATTTTGAAAAGAAATTTTTTTTTAAAAATTTTTGATTTCAGAACATTGTTTAAATTCCAAAACAAAGTTGGCATTGACAATTTTTTTTATTTTGAAAACATACTTGTCTTCCATGAACTCGAAAGAGCAGCTTACCTCCACCAGTCGAATGTCCAACGAACACGGCATCACGAAGATCGAGGTGATTGACCAGCGCGGCCAGATCCTGCGCATAGGTGTTCATGACGTTCCCATTGCTCGGTTGACTGGAGCGGCCATGGCCGCGACGATCATGGGCAATGGTTCGATAGCCACGTGCCGCGAGATAGAACATTTGATCTTCGAAAGCATCGGCAGTGAGTGGCCATCCGTGACTGAAGACCACCGCTGGCCCCGATCCCCAGTCTTTATAGTAGATCTTCGTGCCATCAGAGGTGGTGAAGTAGTACCTTTGACCTTGAAGAGAGAATAAGAGAACATCGTGCAAAATGAAAAGCAGTGCATTTTTTAGAAGAATCGATAAGATGAAATTAATTAGGTTGTTTGAGGGAATCCATGGAAGTTCTAACACATCCGTGGAGCGGTTCTTGTTTTAATTTTTTAATATCATGTCTAGCTTGATCATCATCTCAAAGCTGGAGGACTTTCAACCAGAGACTGAAACAGTTAGTGGGGAAAAGTTCGTGAGGCTACATGTGCGAGAAGAATCAACCGACATGAGATCTCTTGAAATCAATATTCAGATTGTTCCCAAAACAGCGATTCTTAGTCACTATAATACATAGATATTTCAATAGCTCCTTCTTGAGATAATCTGTATCATCTTTTATGAGCGACTCGGCTCGATCCGAATGCTGTTTTTTTTAATTCTTCGTTTTTCTAACTTTTTTGTTTTCAGAGAGGTTTTGATCGATTAAATCCGATTCTGTGTTCAGCAAAATAAACCATAGAAACGAAGAAATTACTAAAAAACGGCATTCGGATCGAGCGAGTCACTCATTAAGGATGATACAGATTACCTCATGGTCAAGCTATTGAAATTCTTAA